AGGCCTCGAACTCGAACCGAACTCGAGCCTTAACGAGTCGAGCTCGAGCCGAGCCGAGCCAAGCCAAGCCAAGCTCGTTTAATTTAACAGCACTAACTCTAACCAACTAGTTTTTGTTGTTTCTTTTGTTTTCGTAGGATTTGATCTTTCCATGCATGTTGTGGTTTTCAATTTTTTTAATTTTTTTTTAGTTCCTTTGGAGATTTTATGATTATTAGTTCAACCCTGTATTCTAAAAATCGGCATAGATAGCGCCTAGGCACTAACGGTGTCAGCCTGCCTCCGATTTTGCATAAATCGGCTGAAAAAATCGGTCAGGCGACTAGGCGGGCTTTGCGGCACCTAGGCGAACCTAGGCGTCACTTAGGCGCTCCTAGGCGGGCTTGGCGGAAATTCTTTAATTTTTTTTTTATTTTTTTAAAATACTAATTACATTATTTTGTTATCATGTTTTCGGGAAATTCTACGGTCCCGTTACGGAACCATTTCGTCGGGATTTGTAACCGTTAGATCAACTATCCACTACGTTTACATGATGATATAATAGTTACAAATCTCGTCGAAATGATTCCGTAACGGGACTGTAGTATTTTCCAATGTTTTCTTTATAATATAGTAATATACTAATATTATTATTTAAACTTAGGTGTTTTGATTTATCATAAGTAGAATAGTTTTATTTTGTAGATAGTAAAAATAAATAAAAAAAAGTATTTAATTAATCTTGATTTCTAAGCCCCATCTAGACGCTGACTAGGCCCTTCCTAGGTGTTGCTCGAGCGCGTAACGAGCGACTAGCATCTTCTAGAAGACTATCATTTCATTGGAACATTCAATTGGTATGAGCTATTAGTGGTATGTATAAGCTGTAAAACGAAATGACTCAAAGTGGCCTCAGCTCAACTCGTTAAAGCTAAAAAAACAAGATTTTTATGTAATTTTTTTTTTATTTTTTATAATTTAGCTCGCTAATATTGATAAAATGAGCGGAACTCAAGCTCGGTTGGCCCATTTTGTTACAAGCCCGACTCAATAAAAATTAGAGCCTACGCTCAAATATAAGGTGAATGAATAAGAGTTGATGCTTAAAGCTTACTAATTCCTGGTTGGAGAGTTGGGCCGCATAACAAGAAACAAGCCATGCCGTACTTGGGCCGTCCCGTCCACTCCAGAACACAAACAAACTCATTACCATTAGCATTGAAGGCTTTTTTTGGCGGTTTATTTTCAGATTTTAATGTTTTTTTCCATACTTTTAGAGAGTTTTAGTTATTTTGTTTTTTCGAATATTCTATATTTCTGATAGTTTATAAATTTATTTTGGAATTTACTTCTAGTTTGAACGGCACTAGTTTGTCGTTGATCCTACCTTGTTTTCTAATATATATTACGTCAAGTTTTAGTCGATCATAATATGCTTTACAATATTTTTCTAGTTCAAAATACTTTTTTTTTTTTTTACATTTTAAAAATATTAGTTACTGCTATAGAAAGATTACTACTAGTTCTCATTCATCACAAAATTATTTTGAAACTTTTCCGAAAATTACAAGACTATCCAGAAACTAGCATAGTATTAACAAAAACTATGTCTATTTATCAACCGCACAATTTTGTTGAAACTTTTAGAAATATTACATTTTCTTTTTCTTTGACAGTTTTCAGAAAAATAAAGTTTTAATCAACCACACAATTTTCATTGAAGGCTTAATCAACCACTAGGGGTGGGCTCGGTTCGGTTATTGTAATTTTTCTTAGGAACCGTTCGGTTTTTTTTAGTCTTCATATCGGTTCGGTTATGGTACTTTTGTTGGCAGGGACCGATTTAGA